GAGCTTCGAATCAAGCAGACAAAATTCAAGAAATTTCAACAAAACAAGTATGGATCAAACTCGTATTTATTTACCTTGATAAGACGATGGTTCGATGTTCCTCGAGAAAAACAATCAAGGAAAGCTAAAATCGACCTCACGACATGTCTCTGTATCTCGATATCAGTACACTCCCACTTCTTCTTCTCCTTCTCATTCCTCCTATCAATCAATCAACCAAAATTTTCTCAGGAAAACGGAAAATCAACCGTACAGAGACAACGAGATCGAGAGAAGCTATAATAGAGGAGGAAGATAAAGACCTGAAGCCGAGATTGAGAGCGTGATAAAGACGTTGGTGAAGAGTATTGATGTGTGCGGTGGTGTTTCCTCCCTTCGACGACGCCATATGAGTCGCCGGAGTTGCTACTCCGACTCTCGTTAAGACTGGAATTTGACAACGGCGAATTGATATTAACGGAGAGTTTTGGCTTCTGGACCACACAGAGAGAGACACCGTCATTTGGTTTTTGATAATGGGCCTATAAATAAGGCTTTCAAGTTCCAAAACTAGTTCGCTTAATCAAGACTCAATACAGTATTTTTCTCTTCATTTATATACATCTTTTTTTACTATATAAAAAAGAATAATAATAAATACAACAAAATCCCAATTTTTTTTATAAAAAAATTAGATTCAAGTTTGAAGATACCACGAAAACATATATATTTTTTCAAATATACACAAGAAACTAAAATTATCCACTAGATAGCTAATTTATTTTGCCCTAATTTACCGTGACTAAAGCATGTGATGAATAAGATCAATGGTTGGAAGCGCAAGTAGTTGAAGACTCGGTACAACTCGTTTGTTTATCTTGCATTCTCTTTTTGATGTAATTTGTAGTAAAAGATTGGTGATTCGATCCTATGATCATCACTGTCAAATGTTTTGATATTTGATCTCTCTTTGGGGATTGCATTTTGTATGTGGTTTATCCCACCTTAATATTTAATATATGTGATATTCGGATGCCAAAAAAAAAAAAAGAAGCTAAATTATTCTCTTTTATTTGCAAAAACTACATACAATAAAATCGTAAATAAATTAGTTAATCTTTTTGCTATATTTTCGTAAACAACACTAACTTTTCAACTGATTTTAGTATTTAGTTATTCGATAATACGCTATTTTGAATCATTACACTAATTTGTATAAATTACCCGCGAAAAAAACAGATCATAAGTTTCAAAAATAAATAAACAGAAATATAATATATTCAGACATTCCATACATTACCGTAATCTAATACATTACCGAAATATAATATACATTCCATACATTATTGACAGAAACCGTAATCATCTGCACTATATGTTTATTCAATATTTTTCCTTCTGAACATCATCAAAAGGAAGACATAGTCAACACACACACACATTCACGCTTCTACATGTTAGTCTTACATAAATAATAACAAGAACAACATATAAACCTCATTTTGATCAATTTTCTCAACCATTTTTTCCCAAACTAGTAGCAATCTGGTCAGAAGAATCTTGAATACTTTCCAAATTCTTCGCTTCTGATACCAACGAGCAAGAATGCGAACCCAAGAACACACCCCTAACCATCGTCGAAGAAGATTCAGCAGTCGAATACAAGTCTCTTTCGTCTTCTCCAATAACTTCATCAAATCCTCTAAGT